TTCAAGAGAAGATTAAGAAAAGGGAAATTTATTACAGTAGTTGTTTTTCACACGTTGCTTTAGTTCACACTTTAAATGTACATAATGTTAGTATTTTCAACTCCTAGAAGTATTGTATATAAATACCGCTGGGGAAATATTACACCGTATCATACTACAGAGCAACAATATGCTTCTATTTACTCTAATGAGCAGAAAATTGCTCCTATATGACTATTATTCTAGTCTAATTGAGAATCACAAAAAATGCTGAGTGAAATACATACAAACTTTAAGAACCCCTATGAAGATCCATTCTGTGTTTAATGCTCTGCTGCTTGCTCACCTCCATCATGTCCATCTCCATATCAGCATGTTAGAAAGTGATATGGTTCAGAGGTGTATCCGAATCCTTCTGACATAAACAGATACATTGGTTAGATTATTTTCCTCTACCCCAGACCAGTGAATTAGCGGGAAGAGGCAATCCTGCCTGAAACCAGCACAGATTATGTTTTGTTTTTTACCTTTATTGTAGGAACATAAAAAGGGAATCTGTACAATACAATCTGTTTGGCCTTTTAGTACCTACAGAAAGTGCCATGATGTAGCGATCACTCTTAGATGCTTTTTAATACTCTTGTGATTCAAAAAACAAGGTATCTATCTACTTGAACATAAGTACGTCGCATTGCACAATCTCGGAGATCACTAGGTTTTCTGTGGTGTCTGCTGTAAGGGGACCAAATTTAATAGAACTGGAGGGAAAATATAAATTATACACACACATTTTTTAAGCAGTAGCTATTAGTGTAATTTGGGCAGCATTCCAGGCCCATAGGTAAACAGTTCACATTTTATAAAGAGATATTCTCGTCTCCCATCTAAACAGCAGCTAAGTGCATATATGGTTAAACACAAATTGGAGGATGACAATCCAACCTCAGCTCCAGTGCTATCCCCACTCCCTCTGCTCACCAGCCTACTCCCTTCCCCCATCACATGATTTTCCTGTTGTGGGTCTAAGCAGGGACTAAAGTAAGGGGGCTCGGAAGGAAGCACATCTCCCCCTCCTCAGGGAAGATGACAGGGGAGCTGTCCCTCTTCTACCTGGCAGCATTCCCTACAGTTCTCCCCCCTCCTTCAGGGACAGCTCCCCTTCCTTTTTCCAAGCTTCTTTAAAGCAACTGGGTGTGAGCCCCTTCCACCTAAAGTCCCGAAACAGCATCCTCGCTGCCTCAATTACTTTCTGTTTTCAAATTTCTGTAACAGACTCATCCTCTGGGGATCAGGCACTGAGGGGGACACAGCACATGCTGATCAGCAGGTTACACAAACGTCTTTCTCGAAATATACACTCTAAACTGGTCTTGCTTTGCTTTCATGTTAAAGGGGTTAGAGACTGTGGGTGTGCCACAAGCCCATAGCAAGGCGCAGGGCATCGTTCTGTTGCCCAAGGAGCAGAAATAAGCTGAGCTATCCCTATACTGGTGCAGATTACATCCCCTTGCACCAGCTCCAATACATTGGCTGATGCAATTGGGGAGAAGGGGTTAGAGCTAAGGCTCATCCCTATTGCACCCCCATTCCCCACACCCACCCACATAGGAGGGGAAGCAGCAGCTCGCCCCATATATGCATCTCTCTCTCATGTTAGTACCTGCAATGCAAGTGGCAAGCACGGGGGATAAGGGGGTGCCTTCCATTGCCTGAGCCCTCTGTGCTGGCATGTGCCACAATTTGACTCTCACTTTGTCAATACATCATTTAGCTGGTCAAGCATTTTGGCATAGTGTTTCTATGGAGGATACCATACAAAATGAAGGCCCCACTACTGTGAGGTGCTGGGTGCCTTCAAGCCTCACCCACTTAAATTGGGAACAGAACGCAGCCAGCATCTTTCAGGATCAGGCCCTTATAACTCCATTGCACTGAACTTGCCCCTTCAGATGTTGTTGCTCAACAGGCATGAGTAAATTCCATTATTTCCCCAACAATATAAGCATAACGTATCATGACACCAGAACTAATGTGTTAGCATAGCAGCTGGCAATGTTCCTCTGCCCTGCCAATTGTTTTTAATGGGGGAGAATTCCTGGAGGATTGTCTCTTGCACACCTGTGTGTTTTTTCCTGCAAAGCTCATGGTTTTTAATACAGAGCTCTCTAGGAGGCTAGGGCTAGGGCACTGTAAGTAAATCATATAGGGGCATAAGCTTGTTCCCACTGCAGGCAACAGCAAAACCCCCATCGACTGCAATAGGCAAGCAGGAACAGTCCAGCTGTGTCAGCCTCTTTAAAAAACAAAAAGTTTAAAGAACCTTTGAACTTCCTTTGTTCAGCCATAAAAGGACTGTTTTAAATGGCATCACTGAAGAGTGATCTGCAAAGTGGGAAACTAGCTCTCTTGTTTTAAGCAGCCTTTCCTTCGTAGATTCCCTGTCAACTGAATAGCAGGTTCTGGGAGACACTATGGCAGATTCTGATTTCAGCTTCTCCAGTGGACCTGGCCCAATGTAAGTATTTCAGCATCAGTCATCCATTGGAGTGACTATTAAAATACACCACTGAATGAGGAGTACTACTCTATTGCAGAAATAAGGCATCAGCATTCACTTCAAAGGAGGAAAGAGCTGAAGGCAGCAGCTGCAACAGGGTTTAAAAATGGGGGATGGAGGGGCACAGGAGCAGACTGATCCCTGGTCAAACTGCCTGGTCTTTGCTCCTATAGGGAACAACACTCACTCTTTTATAAGTGTCGCACAGCTTCTGCATGTCCAGTTTTGTGTATTATGCATAGGGGAAAATAGTTAAGAAAATTATGCAGTATTTGCTATGTTAATCATTAGACAACACCAAAGGTCAGATTCTGTCCATACATAGGTAACCTCTTACCAAAGATGGAATTTGGCCTCAGTAACCTCTCCCTTTCTGCTCTCTGACCTAGTAGACCTTCATGAACTATTTCACTGCTGGGTGAAGAAAAGGGGCAATTAGATAAGAACACCCTGACAAACAAGTACCCAATTACTTCTGGGCGATGTGGTCCCGTTGTTATAAGATGCAACATTGATCAGTTCCTCACTTTCACAGCCAGAGTCAGATGAAATTTTCTTCCTTGTCTTTTACCTAACCACAGACTCTATCTGGTTTTAAACCAAGGATTCTCATCCCCTTTCCATACCATAAACCCATATTCAGCTATTTACAACTGATCCTAAAATGCACCCCATAATCCATAGCACCGGTTCCCACGGCTCCTCCAAGAAGCGTTACAGTTCTTCAGTGACTCAAGAGAGGCACATCAGATATTGTACTGTTGTTTAGTAGAACCAGAGGGAGGACAGGTTGCAAATGACTGAGGAAATCCGTTTCAAACTAAGATAGAAGACATGGAATGGCAGCAGGTTCACCACCTCACTCCACAAATGCTAATGACTCTAAGGTCAAGAACCGCTGGTTAAATGAACTTATGTACAAACAAACAAGCACTTTATCAAACACACACATACACACCAAGGGCATTTTCTTTTTAAACACACACTAGTTTCTTTCTGCTGAACCTTTTCGCAGGTCTAGCAACTAAATTATCCCACAAGGAAAAGACACTTATAAAAGATTTAAAAAAAAAAAAAAAAAGCTTTCAACTCAAGGCTTGTTTGAGAAGGGAGATCTATGGAACTTTTTTTCTGGTCTTTAACTTATCCTCTCTCTTGTTTTTGTCTCTCTTCCCCCAGCCCCACTTGCCTTCTTTTTTGGTCTTTTATATCATCTGTGCCAGAACTAACTCATTTAGAGTGAGATTCACTTCTTTTGCATTCAGTTTTTAAGGTGGCTTCTAAAAGATCATCTCACTGCTGCTTGGGAATCAAAGTCTCTTTTTTTCCCCTGCAAATGTTTCAATGAGATATTTGCCAATTTCAGTCAGATTTGTTCCCTTTCCCCCTTGCTATGAACTGTGGGAGGGGTAAATTTCAATAATTTCAAGTCACAAGACACAGGTTGGCATAGCTCTGTGTGATCTGATCTGCTTGTTTCTCTCCCCTTTTGCAGAGCGAAAGTAGTAGTCAAACTCTCCGCCTTGTGGATCTGAGGTCTGCTTCCCCCCCTTCACCCTGGCATGTGTTATCTCAGCTGTTTAGGAAGGTTTTCCTCACCACTTCTCCTTGCAGAAAGAAGGGCTGCAAAGCCCCAGGCTCGGGATCCTCGAGATACTTTTCACTTAACCCAGTCAATGTGTGTGATCTCAGTGGTTCAGGGAGTTTTGTCACACTTCTTTCCCCCAGTGTTGGAGAGTTTCAAATCCTTCAGCTGTGTGGCCAGAGACATGCAGTTGCTTTATATCCTGCTCGGGTTTGCACTGTAGTGTAGTTTGTGTTCTGATCTGGCTGGTGAGGCTTTCCTACTCTCTCTGTCTTTTTTTTTTTTTTTTTGGTCTTTTTTTTTTTTAAACGTGCACGCAGAGAAACTTGCAAAGCCGGCAGCTTTGCAGCTGGGGTTCCTGGAGTTCCTTAAATCAAATTAACTCCTAACGTTCCCTAGCCATAGACTGGAACCTCCCTGCTAGCGTACGATCCGATCTGCTTTCCTTATACCGAGTTGCAAAGTCCTGAGCTGCGCGCCTGGGGATCTCAGCGCTGCTTTACACAGATTAACTCTTTACTTTCCAGTCACAGACTAGCACAGCCCTGGAGTTCGTGATCTGAGCGCTCCGGTGAGGACAGGTCCCTCCCCCGCCATAAACACGCCTGAGAACAGGTAGCAAAAGTGCCCAGCTTTCCAGGCTCCGTCACCCCTTACCTACCGCTGTCCCCTAGGCACCAGCAAAGCCCTGATCCGCGAGTCTCTCTCACGGGTGCAGGGAAAGTGGCTAGGGCATACCGGAGTCACGGTGTCTTCCCCCCCGATCATCCCCTACCTGCCCCGCTGGGCGACCCTGGCCTCCCCTTGCAGAAAGGGCGCGTGTGCGCGGCTGGGGAAAGGGGGGTGGGGGAAGCTGCCGGGCCCATTTTAACCCCTTACCTTCCAGCAGCACCTCCTTGCCGGCCCGCTTGAGCGCCTGCACCGCCTCGTCGTGGGTGGCGTCCCGCAGGTCCGTCCCGTTCACGGCCAGGATGGCATCGCCCACGTAGAGGGCCTGGGTCTGGTCGGCCGCCAGCCCCTTGAAGATCTTGCTGATGAGGATGGGCATCTTGTTCTCCTTGCCGCCCTTGATGCTGATGCCCAGCCCGCCCAGCTCCTGCTTCTGCACCTTCACGCACCGCTTCTTGTTGGAGATGGCGTCGGGCACTTGCTCGGGGAGCTCGGTGAAGGCGGTGCGCACCCCGCGGCCACCCCCCGCCTTGGGGCTGCCGCCGCTGCCCGCGGGCTCGGCCGCCCCGCCGGGGTTGCCAGCGGCGCCCGGCTGGCTCCCGCGGCCAGCGGCAGCCCCTCGGCAGGGCGCCCCGTTGCCGCTGGCCCCGACGCCGTTGTGGGCTGCGCCGTCGGCGCGCTCCTCGCAGCTCAGCACTAGGGCATCCTCGGCCAAGTTGGCCAGGACTTTGTGCCAGCGGTCCCGCACCAGGACTTCCAGCCAGCCGCTCCGCTGCTGCGCCCGGCCGCCGCCGGCTCCGGCTGCCGCTACCGCCATCTTTGGAGCATTCTTAGCGCACCATGTGATTGCACAGCCCGACCGACAGCCCGCCGCACACAGGACAGGGCTGCGCCCCGGGAGCGCCCCGAGCGCCGCCAGCTGCGCCGGCGGGGCGGAGCAAAGCCCGCGGTTAGCCTGGCGCCCCAGGCGGCGGCAGCCGGTCAGCCGCTCACCTGATCCCGGGCGCCACCTCCCGCCCGCCCGCCGGCCGCTCACCTGCTGCGGGCGGCACGTGGCGGGGGGGCGCCCCCTGCAAGGCACAAGCGGGGCAGCAGCCCACCTGCTGCAGGCCCTCGTCAGCTCCTGCAGGTTCCCGGCCACCTCCCGCCTACAGGAGGGTCCATGGCAGGAGGCGCCCGGAGGGCAACTCACCTGCTCCGCGCACCACTTAATCCCTCTCCACCCCCACCTCGCAGCAGCAAGCACAGATGAGTCAGTAGACGGCCCTCCCCAAACCAAGCGCGAGCTGAAATCTACCCAAATCCGCTCGCAACCCCATTCCTCCCCGCCGTTTACCTTCCATTTCTTCTTGGGGGCAGTCTCTCCACTCTCCTCCCCCGATCTTGGAAGACAGCGGGCTAGGTCCCTTCCCTTACCTGATCTCTCCACTTTTGCCTGTCTTTCCCTTTACAGTCTGGATAAGAAGGGACTCCCACTCCAGCTGAGCCAGTGTCACTAACCACAAATGCCCCGACAATAGCACAGACTCAGAAGGGTTTGGGGACAGAACATGAACATCAGATTGGCCATACTGGATCAGACCATTTGGCCCAGTCGCCTGTCTGCTGCCAGATGCTTCAGAGGAAATGAGCAGAACAGGACAATTATTGAGTGATCCATCCCCTGTTATCCAGTCCCAGCTTCTGGCAGCCAATGTTTAGGGACACCCAGAGCATGGGGTTGCATCCCTGACATGGGCAGCATGTATTGTAGGCTGCACCTCCCCAAACAGCCGGGGCGGGGCCCTGTCCACACTCTGCCTGAAAGGCTCCCTCCTGCTTTCCTTTCCCCCTTGGCCCCAGCCCAGGCAGGCTGGCTGCTCCTCTTCAGGGAAGTGGGATGGGGCTGAGAATGGGGCTAGGGCTGGCCTGCAGCTGGGACTTGGGGTGGCTGGGGCTGCCCAGTGCTGGGGGGCCCTTGGGCTCTGGGGCACACCACGCAGTGCTTGGAGGGTGGGCTGCCTGCCCTGTGCTCGGAGGAGCCTGGGGGCGCTGGGGCTAGGAACCATGTGCTGCCCACCTGCCCACTTGGGGGGGGCTGCGTGCCGCCCACCTGGCACTTGGGGGCTGGGGGCGCCGCCCGCATGCCTGAGGCTTGGGGGTCCACAGCCCACCCACCCCATGCTTAGGGGCTGGCGGCCACAGGGAAGGGGCTCTGGGCTCCAGTGGGAGAAGAAGGGCTCTGGGCCTCAGACAGGAGGGGTGAGGCCTGCTGGGGGGGGGGGTAGCCTCCCTGAGTTGGCAGGTCACCTGCCACCCATGATCCCTGACCATCCTGGCTAATAGCCATCGATGGACCTATCCTCCATGAACTTATCTAATTCTTTTTTGAATTGGGCTTTTTGGCAATGAGTCCACAGGGTGACTGTGCATTGTTTGAAGAAATACTTCCTTCTGTCTGTTTTAAACCTGCTGCCTATTAATTTCATTGGGCGACCCCTGGTTCTTGTATTATGAGAAGGAGTAAATAACACTTCCTTATTCACTTTCTCCACGCCATTTATGATTTTATACTCCTCTATCATATCTCCCTTTAGTTGTCTCTTTTCTCAGCTGAACGTCTCAGTCTTTTTAATCTCTTATAAGGAAGCTGTTCCATCCCCCTAATCATTTTTGTTGCCCGTCTCTGTGCTTTGTCCTATTCCAATATGTCTTCTTTGAAATGGAGCAACCAGAGCTGCACGCAGTATTCAAGGTGTGGGCATACCATGGATTTATATAGTGGCAAGTGAACCCAGTGCTGACTTGGGCTTTCATACCTAGCACTCTGTCACATAAGGGTCTCTGAGTAGCCTGTTGACTGAGACAGAAGCAGGACCAAGGAGGTCCTGTTACACAGCATTATGTACTTTCTGTCTTATTATCTATCCCTTTCCTCATGGTTCCTAAGGGCATGTCTTCACTAGCAAGGTTCAAGCGCTGCCATGGCACCAGCCCTGGGAGAGAGCTCTCCCAGCACTATAAAAAACCCACCTCTATGAGGGGAGTGGCTCTCAGCACTGGTGTACTGTCTACACTGGCTCTTTATAGCGCTGAAACTTTCTGTGCTCAGAGGGGTGTTTTTTCTCACCCCGGAGTGAGAAAGTTGCAGTGCTGTAAAATGCCAGTGTAGACAAGGCCTAACATTCTGTTCGCTTTATTTGACTGCTGCTGCACATTGAGTGGATGTTTTCAGAGAACTATCCACAATGACTCCAACATCTCTTTCTTGAGTGGTAACAGTCATAGGCGACTTGTGCCTCTTGATACTGGGCCGGGGGGGGGGGGGCACAATGTAAAGGAGGGCACACGTGACCACCCCACATGTCACCTCTGGGAGGAACTTGCAGCCACACCTACCTGGGCCAGGGCAGCCAATCCCACTGGCTCCTGGGGCTTCATCCCTGTGGGGCGAACCAGGACTCAAGGCCTCAGCCCCGCGGGAGGTGCCAGGGCTAAGGGCTTTAGCCCTGCGGGTTTGAAAATATTTACCAGAGCTCCACTCTGGACAGATCTAGCTGAATTTAAATCCAGGCTTTAGGACCCTTTGGAGTGGGAGGGTCCTAGAACCCCGGGCTCCAGCCCAAGCCCAAAAGTCTACACAGCAGTGAAACAGCCCCACAGTTCAAGCCCTGCAAGCCCAAGTCGACTGGTTCAGGCCAGCTGTGGATTTTTCTTTGCTGTGTAGACATACTTGTAAGCAAGGTCTGAATGAATGCTTCCCAGACAGCTAGCGGGGAGGGGAGAGACTTTGGGTGTGTTTATGTAAATACAATTTGCTCTTTCTCTGCTTACATATTCAGCAGACTTTGGCTGGTGTTGGGTTACAAATCACCTTAGTACTGAATGCAGGGGTAGTGAAATATGGTTACCAATGTTGTAATTATTGTAGGAATACAGGAAAGCAGGACTGTGCTTAACCTATCCCAAATGGGGTGGGGGTCACCCTCAGTTGAAAGAACCTTGGTAAATCAGGGGCTCGAATGCCAGAGCCTTGTAAAAATAAGAAAGGGATAGATATTCTAGTAAGGAGACTGTAAACTGTTACCAGGGGTTCTTTTCTACCCTGGTTTAACCTGTTTTTCCCCACTGTTCAAAGAATAGAGTTAAGTAGGCTTTATGAGAACCTTGTTTGTTATTTTTATTGCTCAATCAGAACTGAAACCAGTGATTATAGGACTGTGTTCTGCCCAGCCTGCTAAGAGCTAAAAATGATTGAGAGTTGAAATCATGTGAGATGGGGTTATGTTAGTGCACAGGTGACTGATAAGTGGCTGGTGAGGTAGAAAGGCATAGTGTGTGGCTGGTTGGGCAGCTGAAAGGGAGTAAGGAGCCTCTTTATCCCCTCCACCCAGGGTGGGAGGTGAACTCTGCAGATGCACCTCTGAACTCTGGGTCTGCACTGACCAAGGACAGCAACTGTGAGTGGGGTGCAGAGAAGGGTCAGGCACACGAAAGGGACTTTTGGGTTGCTAGACTTAAGAACCTGAGGGGAAAAGGACACTGCCCAGCCTACTTGGGGGTGGGTCTTTTGCTCATGGTTTATGTTTATTAATCCTGTTTGCAGTGTTTTCCCAAATTAATGCCAAGTCACTTCCCTCCTTTTATTAAAATGTTTCTTTTCTACACTCAGACTCTGTGATTGTGAGTGGGGACGTATTGCCTCTAGAGGCACCCAGGGGTGGTGTGTAATTTCCCCAGGTTACTGGAGCTTGAGCCAGTTCTGTGGTGTATCAATGGAAAGGAACCCCTAGGTATTGAACCCAGCCCTGGTTGCTGCTGGCTTCGCCTGGCAGAAGGGTTACATACTCATAGTGAGACACAGCCCCTGCCCCAAAGAGCTTTCAGTCTAGTTTTACAAAGTGTAATAAGGGGCTGAAACAAATAACTGGTAGGGACGTAGGTTTGGCAACGTTGGTGAGGACGGGATAGCTGAAATACAAGCTTATTTTTTCATAGACTAAGCTGTACAGACACAATTAAACAACACAATGGAAATGATTCTTTTTAAGGGATGAATGGATTTAAATAAATACAGTAGCACTAATGTATAGTGAATACAGTGAAACTTCACTTATCATAAAGTAGAAGGAATGTTCCAGGCTGTTTCCATGCAGTCCAAGGTGCACATGGGAAGTGGTTCCTGTTAGGGAATCTTTGCTCTAAGCCCTGTATCTGTTGAAGAAGCATGGTAGTATCCTAGGCCAGTGGCTCTCAACTGGACTGGGCCTAGCGTGCACAGCACCCTTTGGGACAGAACCAGTTATGCCTCTCTGCCTCTTACTACATGAGCCTATTACTTCATGTTTGACTTCCAGTTCAAATACTGCTAGATCAGTGGCTCTCAACCTCTCTAGACTACTGTATCCTTTTTAGGACTCTGATTTGTCTTGCCTACCCCAAGTTTCACCTCACTTAAAAACTACCTGCTTACTAAATCAGACATAAAAATACAAAAGTGTCACAGCACACTATTCCTGGAAAATTGCTTTTCTCATTTTTACCATATAATTATAAAATAAATCAATTGGAATATAAATATTGTACTTACATTTCAGTCTATAGAATATAGAGCAGTATAAACAAGTCATTGACTGGATGAAATTTTAGTTTGTAGTGACTTCGCTAATGCTTTTTATAAAGCCTGTTGTAAAAGTAGGCAAATATCTAGATGAGTTGATGTACCTCCTGGAAGACCTCAAAGTACCCCTTGGGGTACAAGTACCCTGGGTTGAGAACCACTGTCCTAGGCTGTGCAAGCTTCTCCTCTTGGCCCTGCCAGTATGCCCCACTGCTGTGTTAACGGGAACATATCCACATGAAAGTAGTCTCTGCGCTTATTCTGTTTTTGAAATATCTGCTGAGACTGCCAGCTGATGGCAGTTATGCTCTGTGGCTAAACAACACACAGTCTTGCCATTCCCAGTGTTCAAAAG